TGAAATTGGTAGAAGAGGGAGTACCTAAAGAACATTTAGCCTTATTGGCAGTTCCAATGGTTCCTTTACAGATAATATTGCCTCTGATTATCAGCAAATACACTTCAGGTCCCCGGCCACTAGATGTATTTTACAAAGCCATGCCCTACAGGTAAAAACAAAGTAGAATCTTCTTAAATAAAAAAGGGTAAATGAGGAACATTCATTAGTGTCACTAATATCTGTGTGTAGAGTATATATGGAAAAAGGCTTGAAAAGCATCTTTTTAAAAAAATATATATATATATATTTTATTGATTTTTTTACAGAGAGGAAGGGAGAGAAAATAGAGAGTTAGAAACATTGATAAGAGAGAGTAATCTATCAGCTGCCTCTTGCACACGCCCTACTGGGAATGTGCCCGCATCCAAGGTACATGCCCTTGACCGGAATCGAACCCGGAACCCTACAGTCCGCAGGCTGATGCTCTATCCACTGAGCCAAACCGGTTTCAGCTTGAAAAGCATCTTTAACTATAATAGCATTTATACAGACTTTTCTCTCTCTTTTTAGCCTAATAGGTTGTTGATTCAAGCTTTTTTCCTGTGGTAGACACACGGATTTCTGTTTTAGTTGTTTTTTAACCTAAAATGGAAGTCAGCTCCATTTTTTCCCCCCTCTATAGATTATTGCTTGGATTAGAGTTTGCTCTGCTGGTTTGGTGGACTCCGAAAGTAGAACATCAAGGGGGATTCCCTATATATTACTATTTCGTACTGCTGCTGAGTTATGCGTTACACCAGGTAAGTGTAGTTTTCTAAGGAAGTAAACGGTTCTTGGTAAAATAAAGAGGACATTTTTCTACAGTGGCTTTAAAATAATGATAATAAATTTTAAGATTTAAGCACAGATCTGACAATGAAATTATTTGACAGTGTACTTGAACCCTTATTACTTTTGATTTAATGAGCTCTATTCATAGAAAGAGTTTCTTCTTTATTCCATTTTTTTGTTCATTTGACAAATATTTTTTACATTTCAGAATTTATTTCAAACTAGTAATTCCATCCTTGCTAAGTATTTCTTATTCCAACCCTAGACTTTGGTTCTTTCTTTCTTCTAGTCCCAATATTTTTTTTTCTGAAAGTATTAAAAAAAATAAGGATGGCTACTAGGTTAAAGGTTATAGGTTTTTGGTTTAGAATCGTTTTGAAAGTTATAACTTACTCTTTTGTGATTTTGGAAGCTGTGTGTCAATCTGCTTTTTCTTTCTTTATTAAATACATTTGTAATCCTTAAAAAAAGTGATACCTCACTTTGCTATAGCCTCACCTAAGCTACTGTTGCACAATGGGGTTTTGTTTGGGGGCAAGTGATTCAAGTAAATGGCAGATTATCTTTATATAATTTTAAGGTTTATAAGGGACTCAACTGTAGTAATTGCTAATGTGTATTTTAGAGTCACTTCGGATTTTTCAATGAAGCCTAGCTTAAACATTTGAAAGTTATAGTTACATTTTGAAAATTATATTTATCAACTCCTCATTTTGTTTTTAACTGAAACTAAAAATATGGCTATCAAATAATCTCAGTAATTTTTTTTGCCTGCAATTGTCTCATTTAAAAGATCTCCATAGTGGATCATGTCTGACTAACTATGTACATCATGAAGGCCAGAATGTCAAATGTAATTTTCTTTTGTTTTGCACATACTTAGTTAAATAAAAGTTAAAAGAAGTGTTTTAGCTTAGCAAATGCTTTACTACCTAAGTAAAAAAACAACAACTATGATGTAGTAGTTCAAAAATCATTCGTTTGGCTTTGGATTTCATTAGGTAATTTTTTAAAGTATAGTCATTGAAACCCAGACAACCAGATGCTTTGTGGGAGAAAAGGTATAAGGCCAAGTAAATTTGAGAAATGATACATGATACAACCCTTCTTTATGTAGCATCTTAATCATTCCTTCAACAAATCTTAAGTGATCACTGATTCCATGATAGGAAATATTCTAAGTACTATAGTATAACAGTGAATAAACCATGCCGAAATCCCTACCCTAAGGAGTTTATATCCTAAAGGCTTTCAGAAGGCCTGGAGTGAAAGGGACCTGTTTAATTTTACGTAATTTAGTGTTTCTCAGTCTTTTTTGATATTGTAACATCCCATGGGATAATAATAAAAGGAATACTGTCTTGGAAGCATGGTTTATTTCTATATTCCTAAATAAAGGGTTAATTCTTGCCTCTTAAGCACTTTTGCCTTTAAGACTTTTTCTTCAATTTGTCACATACATTTTGAAATGCTTTTTTTTATGTTTATAGACAAAAATTATATTTGAGTGCTTACATGTATAATACATATATACATAAAATACACATATATGATAATAAAGGCCCAGTGCATGAAATTCCTCCAGAGGTAGAGTCTCTAGGCCTGGTCAGCAATCAGGGACGATTGGGGCCTTCAAGCTGCCGGCCGGCCGGGACCTTCCTTTGTTCCGCGCTGCCCCCTGGTGGCAGCATACATCATAGCAAGTGATAGAACTCCTGGTGTCCTGGTCAAACTCCCAAGTGGACACTTTGCACATTAGCCTTTTATACAATATATATAAAAGCGTGTGTGTGTGTGTGTGTGTGTGTGTGTGTGTGTGTGTATTTTATATTTAGGTACAGTACATATATAGGGCTTTGCTTAGTGTTTCAAGGCCACCTCATCTGTCGTTTTCTCATTTGATCATCCCTTGACTACTTATTTTAAATTAAGCTCTTATTTAGCTTAATTTAAGCTCTATCTAGACCCCAGTAATACAATTTGTATACTTCTGTTAAGAATATTTACTGCATTTCATAATATTTATTTATTCCCTATTTTCCCAGCCTAGAATAAATTCTTGAAGGTTACAGAGAGACTGTCTTAGTCATCTTTATACTGTCATGATCTGGCCTAAAGCCTAGTCAATAAGAAATGTTCAATAAATGTTTTTTGACATGAGTTTAATAAGGGACATGAAAATTAATTTTAAGGTTTATAATTTTGATTTTCTTAATTCAGACTATAGCTTTAAAAAGCCTAATCATATTAAAGATGTTTTACATTTTCCTTGTAGGTTACATTATACAGTATGTATGTTTCCATAATGGCTTTTAATGCAAAGGTTAGCGATCCACTTATTGGAGGAACATATATGACCCTTTTAAACACCGTGTCCAATCTGGGAGGAAACTGGCCTTCTACAGTAGCCCTTTGGCTAGTGGATCCCCTCACTGTGAAAGAGTGTGTAGGCGCATCAAACCAGAGTTGTCGAACAGCTGATACTATTGAGGTAAGTGTGTTGTAATTTTAAATAACATTAAACTAACATTAAGGTATTAATTTCCTCGTTTTGCCTCTAGAAGAACTATATCTATTTTAAAAATCATGTCTGCCCATAGTTTCTCATACAGAAATCTACATCTTTCCCATCATGAGTAAGGGTTTTAATGCAACTGAAATCAATAAAAGTAGTTTTTACCTGAGGATAATTCTCAGCAAGGGAGGTGCAGTCACTCTTCCCACCTGAGGATCGCTGTTGTACACAGTAGGATCTTAAAAAAAATGCATTATTAATAGTTAAGTTTTTTAATGACAGCAAAAGGGAAATTTCATTGGCTATTCATTTAACAATTGTAGGTAAAACCAAGTGGTTAGTAGCTTGTTGATTATTTCAAAGTAACAACTAGCTGACTTTTGGAGTATTGTTTATAGCATGAGCTGAAAATTGCTCTACTCTTGTTGGTAGCATTAGAGAGATTTAAGAGATATTACAGTAACATGTAACAAAAATAAATTTTGATCAATCTTTTAAACTATAAAGTAGAAACATGTAAGTTTGTAAATACTTCCATTTTGAAATTATGGAATTTTTTTTTTTTTTAACAGCTTTGCAAAAAACTCGGTGGCTCATGTGTAACAGCGCTGGATGGTTATTATGTGGAGTCCATTATTTGTGTGCTTATTGGATTTGGGTGGTGGTTCGGTTTTGGTCCAAAATTTAAAAAGTTGCAGGATGAAGGACTGTCTTCATGGAAGTGCAAAAGGAACAATTAGTGCATCTATTACTGGACATTCTAAGAAAGGTAACTATAGTTTAGTTTTAATTCAGAGAGCTATGATAATCAGTGAACAGGGGTAAAAAATATTATTTTGAACAAGGAAATTAGTGCTATAAAATGCCAAATGGTTAAAAAATAGAGACCTCTCTGCATCCATGATTATTTTTGCCTTGACTTGTTAGTGCATTTACAGTTCACTTAAGGTAAGGAAATTTGTTCTAAAACAACTTTTTAGGCCTTGTTTGATTTATATCTTTTTAATTTACTGACCAAAGTATTTTTTAGGCAGCAAAGCAGTAGCCATGAGTGGTAACCACACAGTCAAGTATTGTTATCAGTTCCTATCCTCGAGCTGTATTTAAAATTTTGGTAAAATATATTCAATGGAAAAGAGCATGATAATCAGATACTAATTATAATAGTCCTGACCTGTTGAAAGATAAACCTCATTTTGAATTGCAAGTTGTTAGATTCTATGTGGAATTTCCTGAAAAGAGAATTTAGACTGCTGACTGAAATGCCATTTTAGTTGTTATTTTTCTGACCACAACAACATTGTACTAATGAATCTGTGTTTAAAAGACTATTTGAAATATAGTTCCTGCTTTTGTAGGCATTAAAGATTTATAAGAAGATTACTCAAACTATTTTTTTATAACATGAAAGCTATGATATTTAATTTATTGATTTCCCCTGTCCACACTTTTTTTTGGAATTTTTATTCCTTGTAACTTTTTACCCTAAAGTTTGCATGTTTTTGTTTGTCATAGGAGTTACATGGAACACAGAAATCTCGTGAGGGGATCAAATTTAGTGTTGAATACATGTTTGTTGCAAAGTTTTGAAAATAAAAATTAGTTTTTTCTTCAAGTAGTTTTTTTGTTTGTTTTTTTACCAGAAAAAAAAAAAGAACAGTAAAGTTTTTAGATTAAGTAAAATTTAAGTGAAAAAATGTTTTAAGCACTGAGACAGAGATATTTTGTGCCTTTGACAAATTATATCATGTGGTGGAAGAATATTTCTTAATTAAGCACTTTACTGGTGAGAAAAGATCTCACAATAACTTTATACCAAATCAAGTACTGTATTTCCACTTATTAAAGCACAGTCTTCTGTTTGTAAACTATAGCTGCCAGTAGAGAATTGCTATTCCAGGAGAATTAAGCTTTCTAGTACTTTAGAAATTTCTAACATATTATGTACATTCAGTAATAAAGTTCTTTGCATATTTTGTGGTGTATTACTGTGACTTTTTAAAGATTATATAAATCCTTCAAAATTGAAGCTAGAGGAAAAAAAAGAGATTATAAGTAGAGTCCTAGTATTATTATTATTATTATTTGGAAAATATACACTAACTCCTGTTTTTTTGTTTAACTTTAAAACATAGGTTGAATTTTTGAGTGGGTTTTTTTTTAAGTAATGGAGGATAAACTGGGTGGGAGAAAATGGCATTTGGCATCCGAAGAAAGATAGATGAAGGCAACAGTCTCTAAATGTGAGCATGGCCATTGGGAAGCCAGTGTTGGGCATTGATGTCAGATCCTGCAGAATCACCTAGAAAGTCAACCTACAGACAAGGAGACTACACCAAACAATAGATTCCAGTACTCTGTCACATGTGAATTATCATGTATTATAAATAAAAAATGTTTACTTGAATAAATAAAAAGTCCACTTAACTATCATATGTGAAATGTATTTTGATTTTTAGTTTTGAAGTACGGAGCTCACATTACCAGAATTACCTTTTTATTTCTTTCTTATTCATACTTTCCAACATATTTTCAAGTACGAATATTTAATGACTGAAGTTTTAAAATACTCTATAAGTCTTTAACTATGAGGTGGAAGCCAGTAATTGCATTTGCTCTAGAAATTAAGAGTTATTTTAAACAAGAGGCCCAGTGCACGGATTTGTGCATGGGTGGGGTCCCTTGGCCTGGCCAGTGATTGGGCATTGGGCTGGCTAGCCAGAGGGAGGGAACAAGGGAGGTTGGCCAGCCATGGGAGGTTGGCTGTGGGTACGCTCTGACCACCAGGGGCCAGCTCCTGCATTGAGCATCTGCCATTGGTGGTCATTGAGTCATCATAGAGCCTGGTCATAATGGTTACTTAAGCTTTTATATATACTAGAGGCCCAGTGCATGAAATTCAGGGTGCCCCTCAGCCCAGCCTGCAGCCTCTCCTATCTGGGACCCCTCAAGGGATGTCCAGGCAGTCAGACATCCCTCTCACAATCCAGGACTCTTGGCTCCCAACCACTTACCTACATGTTTGCCTGATCTTTTCTAACTGCCTCTGCCTGCCAGCCTGGTCACCCCCTAAACATGCCCCTACCAGCCTGATCCATGCCTAACTGCTCCCCTGCCGGTCCGATTGCCCACAACTGCTTTACTCTGCCGGCCTGATCACCCCCAGCTGCCCTCCTCTGCTGGCCCCAGTAATCCCCAACTGTCCTCCCCTGCTGGCCATCTTGTAGCGGCATCTTTAACGACATAGGAGTGACCATCTTGTTCAAGAGTGTGAAGGTCAATTTGAATATTACCTCTTTATTATATAGTCCAGGTGCACAAAATTGGTGCATGGGAGGGGTGGTCCCTCAGCCGGCCTGCACCCTCTTGCAATCCAGGACCACTGGCTCCAAACCACTGGCCTGCCTGCCTGCCTGATCACCCCTGCCTGCCTAATTGCCCCTAACCACTCTGCCTGCCTAATCACTCCTAATCCCTCTGCATGCCTGCCTGATTGCCCTTAACCACTCTGCCTGCCTAATCACTCCTAATCCCTCTGCATGCCTGCCTGATTGCCCCTAACCACTTGCCTGCCTGAGTGATGACTCCTAATCACTCTGTCTCCCTGCCTGATTGCCCCTAACCACTCCCCTGCCTGCCTGATCACCCCTAACCGCCTCTGCCTCAGACCCTGCCACTGCGGCTTAATCTAGAAGAACGTTCAGAATAATGTCTGGAAGGACATACAGCTATCTGGTCTAGGTAGCATATCATGCTTTTATTAGTATGGATTGTAGTCATTTGGTTATTTGGATACATACTTGTACTGCATCCAGAATGACTTATTACTAGCTATGTTTAACTATATGGCAAGCATGTCAAACTCAAAAGCTAACACAGGCCAAAACAGATTTAAGTTTATGTGGGCCATAAAAAAACCCCAAAAGTTTCAATTTTCATAGAAACAGGCTTATTTCAATAGAGACATGCTGAATAAAAAGCTGAAATAATGAATAATCAACATAATAGAACATTTTAAAAAATATATTTTGATATTTTACAGAGAGAAAGGGGAAAAGATAGAGCTAGAAACACTGATGAGAGAGAAACATTGATCAGCTGCCTCCTGCACACTCCCTACTACTGGATATGTGCCCGCAACCAAGGTACATGTCCTTGACCGGAATCAAACCTGGGACCCTTGATCCACAAGCCAACGCTTTATTCACTGAGCCAAACCAGTTTGGGCTAATAGAACATTTTAATAAAAAAAATATTTTTTTCTTGAATATTAACTTACCAGGCACTGAGTAACTATACAAATTAATAAGCATAATGGAAGTAAACATATTTTTCTTGTTTCCCAAAAGCAAAATATTTCCTGTTGCAAACACCAAATAGTACAAGACTAACATGGCCCTAACCAGTTTGGCTTAGTGGATAGGGTGTTGGCCTGCGGACTGAAGGATCCCAAGTTCAATTCCAGTCAAGGGCATATACCTTGGTTGTGGGCACATAGGGAGTGTGCAGGAGGCGCTGATTGATGTTTCTCTCCCATCGATTTTCTAACTTTATCCCTTTCCCTTCCTCTCTGTAAAAAAAAAAAAAATCAATAAAATACATTAAAAAAAAGAAAAGAAAAGACTATTGACACGGCAATCAACTGCTGAAATATTCCCTGCTAGTATTAGTGGAGAGAAATTGTGTGCCTGCCCGTAAGGCAGTAAGGGAAATGAATGCAACACGATTATAGTAATCAGTCATTAGCAAACATTGTAGTTCGTTATATTGTAAAAATTAAGTTATAAAATTTTTATTAAAACATTTCTTACATACCATTATATTGGCGGGGCTGCAAAAATTTGTTGTGGGCCATATACAGCCGTTAGGCCGGGAGTTTGACATGCTTGCTATATAGATAACTGATGGTGTTTTAACAAATAATCTACCTAAATATGAAGGTTTGTTTATTGTAAATCAAGAGTACTAGAGCCCTGACTGGTTTGGTTCAGTGGATAGAGCGTCAGCCTGCAGACTCGGGGGTCCCAGGTTCAATTCCAGTCAAGGGCATGTACCTTGGTTATGGGCACATCCCCAGTAGAGGGTGTGCAGGAGGCAGCTGATTGATGTTTCTCTCTCATTGATGTTTCTAATTCCCTCTCCCTTTCTGTAAAAAATCAATTATATATATGTATATATATATATATATATATATATATATATATATATATATATATATAATTTAGTTTGAGGTTGAGAGCCTTTCCATTTCCTTACCTGTTGAGAACTTCTATTAGATTCTTCATTTTATCTCTAAATCTTTAGAATAGGCATGAAGAGCTAATATTCCTTCCTGGGATTCTATATTTGTAGAGGCAAGTCCTGTATCAGGGCAGAATAATTAATGTATAGGACTCATGCCCTCCCCTTAAGTGAATAGAAACTTCATTTAACTGTTGGATTATAAAGATTGATTTTAAGGAGCAAGTTTTGTTTTATCTTTGTGGGGCAGAGAGGACATTTTGTAGAGAAAAGTTCTATGTAGCAAAATGAAAATTCTGTGATTAATCATAGTTCATCTTGAAAACAAATTTGCCAAGTATATAATTAAATATATATTAAAATGTCACCAGTATTAATTTGCATAGTTTATATGAAGTCTTGGAGTACTGAGAAAAAGGTTGCTACTTTTCAATTATTTTTTATTGTCAATATAGACATCACTTATAAGCATTCTGTGTGAAGAATGTTTAAATAGCACTACAGAAATGAATAAGGTATTGTCATAATTCTTAGAGAATTATCATGTCTCTAAAATTGAGAACCCTAGCCATTACAGTTAATCAGTCACTATTGTAAAATATAAATATTAAAGCCTATTCATTTCATTAAAACGAAAAGTAAATTGTTCATGTTAAATTTACTAAGTGCTAAGATTCTAATGATAACCTCACGAGGCAAATTTCAGAGTCTTAACTATCCAGCTTTCTAAATTGGGCTTTACATGATAGAGTGAATGGTAGAGCAATAGATTACAAATAGGACAATACTGTAAGACTAATTCTGAACTTGATAGAAAGATTACAAGGTATTTTACAGGCATCTATCTATACATTTTCTTTCTTTTTAAAAAAAAAAATTGATATTTTACAGAGAGGAAGGGAGAGGAATAGAGAAATTGAAACATCGATGAGAGATAAACATCGATCAGCTGCCTCCTGCACACTCCCTACTGGGTATGTGTCCGTAACCAAGGCACATGCCCTTGACCTGAATCAAATTCGGGACCCTTGAGTCTGCAGGCTGATGCTCTATCCACTGAGCCAAATTGATTAGGGTTCTATACATTTTCTTAATATGTTGGTGAGTCTCTTATAGTCTTGGATTCTTACTTTGATTCAACAAATTTATCTGTTTTTGCAATAAAAATTTTTTGACATCTTTCTCCTTTGAAGGTTCATGATTTACTCAGCAAAAAAAGGACTGTGGAAAATAGGAGAATATTCTGGAGAATACTTTTACATGCTTACCCTATCCCCTTCTGAGGGCAAATGCCATTCTTAGAGTCCCAGGCTTAGCAAAGCAACTCTAGCTTTATGGTTAAGCTCACATGGCCAATTTTTAAGTGCTTAATCTTGTCATACTGACTCCAGGTGATTATCTCTGACTGAAACATAGCCAATTTATAGAATAGTTATTAGTTCATTAGTTGTCTTGGCATAAAAACCTTGAATGATAATGCCTAGACCAATCATAGCTTTATAGGAAGTCATACAAACAGTGTGAGATAAAAGTGTGTGTTAGTAGTGAAAGGAGAATAAAAAATACACAGTGAGGCAGACATTGAATTGTTGGAGATAGGATAATATTTGCAACAATAGGTTAATAATATTTGAAGGGCTCAATGAACTTCTGCTTCTGAGGAAGGGGTAATGTTAATGCCTAAACTCAATAGAGTTGTATTAGATCCTGAATGTAGCCCAAACTATATTCTAGACATGAGACCTAGCTATGTTGCAATTCCTGATCATTGCCAGATAACCAGCTTGAGGTCCCAGGGTTCCTTGTTTCTCTAAGTATCATTATACTTTCCAAATTTTTCCTCCACCTATTTAAAAATAATAATAAATAAAGATATAATTTACATAAAGTCACAAATCAAATACAAAAACTGCTCCAAAATAGTTGTTTCCTCTGCCCTCCTTTGTTCTATTGTCATAAAAAATATATATACATTATAAGCCCAGCTGCATGGTTTTGTAAATAGTTGTATTTGAAATCACACAGGAGAAGCAAAGATTTATAAACAAAAATACATTTATGCAGCATTTAATTTTTTTCTTTATTAGTACTCTTTAATTCTTCATGTGAATTCTAATTACTAGTTCCCTAAAGGCTGTCAGACTGAATTTGTTTGTTAGGAAGAGGAAGGGAAGAAGAGGAGGACAAAACAG